ACCGAATACCCGCACAAGTCTAGGGGGTAGCCTACCATACATAAATATAAGTGAATTGAATACTGATTACCATTATTGCGACTTTTGGTGCTGCACGGTTTTGTGCAGTGCTTTTGTAGTCATTTAGCATCCATTTTCTCAGCGATGTAATTTGATTTGTAAAATTAGACAAACCGCAGATCCAGATCGCTCCACACATGTAAGCTCGTCTGTCCCATGTAATTTTCAACTGATTTATGAATAAGAACGGAAAATGACCGCTCCACTTCACATTATTGTGCAATGAAATTTGAACCTCTTGTGCCAGTTCATGATTGGTTGGTGTGTATTATACATGACAAACGGGCAATGATGAATTATGTAATATTCTAAAATAATTAAATCGACACACTAGCCTTGATTATTGATGAAAAAAAGTTTAAAATATTGTTTAGTTTATTTTTTCCTTCCGGCGACCCACTCACTGAAAGAAGGTTTCCGAACAGACTGTGGAATATCAGTCAGTCAAGCAAAACCATGAGCAAAACGCAGGCAACCATAGCAACGCCTCAGATTGACAGACATGTTAAAATAAACAGGAATTTTCTGACTTTTGAGCGATTAATTATTGTTTTGTACACATTGTCATGTTAATTATAATTAAAATGCATTTTGTTTTATTGACCACAATATCATTGCTATTTGTCTGAGAGGGGCACTTTTGAATAATTTTGAAAAAGGGCAGGGGCTTGAGCCCCCAAAGCCCCCCCTTCTGCACGTGCCTGCTTAGGAGTCCTCTTCACTACTCCTAAAGTTTCACAGATTTAGGAGCTAATTTTAGCGCTAAAACGCTTTGTGAAATACTCTTAGAACAAAAATTTAGGAGTCCTAAATTTAGGACTGACACGCCCATTATTTTTAAGATTTTCTCCTAAATCGGCAAGTTATGAGCTACTTTTAGCCTTAAGATGTTTTGTGAATACATCTGGTTCATTGCCATGGTTATCACTGCCAGCCATTGCATTTTAGGATTAAATTCTGCATTTAAATATTATTCCAGAAACTTTGCAGTATTTAGCTAGTAGCACATGATAAATAAAACCTTTGCTCAAATTGTGAATGGGTATGAAAGCAAGCAAAGAGAGGTCGCTTTATAATCACTGAAGCGGTCAGCGTGACTTCACTGTGCTCTGCACTCTTGCAAACACACTCTTATTCTCAATGAAGTTGTCTGTACTTAAAAATCTCCTATTTATATCATGTTTAAACTCTCTTGATCATTTATAGCATAGTAAACGCACTCAACGAAAACTACAGGCTTACAGTCTTTATAAGCAAAGCATTTAATATTAATATTTATGATATTCTTTGTTTTTAATGTCAGCAATAATACTGCTGTAACTGTACGTGCTTTGACCATTATGCATTCAATGTATTGTTGGCTAGATTGAGGCTTTGGTATGGTTGCAACTAATGCCATATCCCCTTATTTTATCTGTGTTCATTATTCCTAGTCCATTCTTGATTAAATGATTTAGAAAAATTCAAAAAGAAAATTAGTTACTTTTGTCAAACAAAATCCGACCAGCTTTGAGAATGCATTTGAACCTCCATGAACCTCTCCTGTTCAACCAAACTCAAGCCCAGTTTTGTTCATCCATTGAGCTTAGTATCAGCTTATCATGTGCTTATTTCTAATAACAACAGTCCCATCAGGTAATGCTTGAGGCAGAGTTTTTCTGAACAATGGTATAGTGCGTTCCCGTGTCTTGAATACAGTATTATTGACCTGTCAGAAATTTTTTACCTTGATTTTCTGTGTTCACTGAGGGTTATAAATAAAATTGACTTGACAGTTGAAATAGACAAAACATGCATGTTCAATCAATTCTAATAACAAGGAAACCAAAGCATTTTATCTTATTCTGTTAGCAGGCCAGGCCCAGTAACTTTTTGTATGTTTTTTTTTTTTTTGTGGTTTTGTTTTTGTTGACAGTTGAAACGGACAAAACATTGCATATTCAATCAGTTGTAATGACAAGGAAACCAAAGCATTTGATCTTATTCTGTTAGCAGGCAATGCCCAGCAACTTTTTTTTTTTTTTTTTGCAGGCCCAGTTTGACATCACTGTAGCCAGTGAGATTATGGCAGTTTTAGCTCTCACCACCAGTCTGGCTGACATGAAGGAGAAACTTGCAAAAATGGTGGTGGCCACCAGTCGCAGTGGTCAGCCTGTCACAGCAGAGGATTTGGTGTGCTGCTGTCATAAGTCTCATTTTATCTGAAATGAAAATGTGTGGATGTTCATCCTGTTTTGATTCTGTATTGTTTGTCTTAGGGAGTGTGTGGAGCTTTGACAGTACTCATGCGAGATGCCATCAAGCCAAACCTCATGCAGACACTAGAGGTGAGAGGAGTTGTCCTGGGTTGTGTATTTACAAATTACTATGCAAATCACCTAGATAGATCACCTTTATAGATAAATTATACCTTATTCATGATCAACTCCACAAGTTACTTAAATCAGTTTCCCAGCTGTTTTCTTGTCACTTCTTTCTCTGGTGTTTAGAGGTGTTTATTGAGTCTTTGTATGAACACTTGTTTAGGGAAACCCTGTGTTTGTTCATGCTGCACCTTTTGCAAACATTGCACATGGAAACTCATCAATCTTGGCTGATAAAATTGCTCTGAAACTAGTTGGACCTCAGGGATTTGTGGGTAAGTTACACAAATCAAAACCATTTTTTTGTTATTTGCGTAAGAGCCAGAATAATTAAAAAACTTGTAACTGTAAAGTTGTTTAACTAAAAAGGAAACAATTTAGTTAAAAAATGTGTTGATAATTAATAATTTATTTATTTTCAAAATTATATAATTTTTTTTTTTTTTTTTACAAGATGCAATGATGCAAATAAACACCCAAGTGAGTTTCAATACTCTACACAGACTTCAGTATATTGTATGCAGTATACACATGCTTGAGTTTTCTTACACCACGTGCATCCATCATATTGCAACATCTTTATGCTGTCTGCACTGGATGCATCAAAGCAAATGGTTCAAATCCAAGCACAAGTCAGAAATTAACTGAGATATCTGTTTACTGTACAAAATTGTGCAAAAATTGAATTGTTTGGTTGGTTGTCTTGGATCCCATCAGTGTGAATTCCTAGAGGGTTTATTGTTGTTTTCTGCCAGTCACCGAAGCAGGTTTTGGAGCAGATATTGGGATGGAGAAATTTTTCAATATCAAATGTCGCTACTCTGGTCTCAAGCCTCATGTTGTGGTCTTGGCTGCAACAGTTCGAGCACTTAAGATGCATGGAGGTGGTCCAACGGTGAGTCTGAGAATAACTCTCCTCTACTGTATAGTGGGAGAGAAAATACATAATTAAAGGAGAACATTGCCAGCATCTCAAACTTCCTTTCATATATACAGTAATTTATTTACTTTTTCATGTAGATTGTCATTTTGTCTCACTTCTTAGATGTATTATTTTGTACAGGGAGTTGATAAATGTGCATTGCATCGCATCTTTTCTGTAGGTCACCGCAGGCACGCCTCTGCCAAAAGAATATATTGAAGAGGTACTGTAAGATTGTTTAATGTTTTTTCTGCTAGTCTGTGATCTTATAGATAATGTAGTCTGGTGATTTGAGAAGCTAAAAATGTAGGTGTTCTAAAACTTCTAACTGGTAGTGCATACCATTACCATATGTATAAAATCACTCATAGCATTATGACAGATTCTGGTCATAATACCCACCCCATAACACTATAAAGTTTTGGGAGTGGCAACTGCATTTAACTAAAAGTGAATCACAGGAGTCACTCCAGAAACATTCCCAAAACTTTAATGTAGTACTGATAAAGTTGGTTTGAATTCTTACAGAATCTGGCACTGCTGGAAGCCGGCTGCAGTAACAGAGGAAGCAAGTGGAGAATGCTCAGCTTTTTGGGGTTCCAGTAGTTGTGGCCGTCAATGCTTTCAAGTAAGACTGCACCTGCTGATTAAACCTATACAATACAGAGAAGATAAATATATAAGCTTTATGCAGAGTAGGGCAATTTGTGTTTTTTAATGTCTATAGAAATTTCTAATGCTTTGTGTATTGAGTTGTTTGTTACTGTTATACAATAGTTTACGATGGACAGAAATGGTTAAAAAAATGTAAGTAACCCAAAAAATCTAACAACATCTTTGTCACTACTGCTGCATGGGCAGCCCCGTAGTCTTGCTTTTAGTTTTCATTGCTGTTTAATAGGACTTGTGCTAATAGAATTAATTAAATTAATCTTATCTCTGGCCTATATGTAAATTTTACTGTCAGAACAATTCAAAAATCTTAAATGACCACCTTTGTGTTTCTGCGTGTCAGGACAGCCACAGCTGCTACCGCAGGCACTGCGCCTTGCTAAACACACATAAGGAAATCGTGCAACAGCATAACTAGAGCCATTCACACAGGGCTTGTTCTTGCATTCAAAGCACAGTGGTCGTCTAGTAAAAAATGCAGTGGTTTCAAGATACAATTTTCTCAACACACAATTAACCTGAACTACTTCTTGAGTGGTTAACCCAATAAGAAGTCTTCTGAAACCCTACAATGATTTGTGTGAGGGAAAAAATTTAGTAGCACTTTAGATTAGGGAACACTATTCACTCATTAACTAGTTGCTTATTAACATGCAAATGACTAACATTGGCTGTTTGTAAGTATAGTACTTATAAAGCACATATTAATGCCTTATTCTACATGACCATATTCTAGATCCCTTAACCCTCCCCAATACCTAAATATAACTACAGCAACTGCTTTACTTGCTATCGATAAGCAACAAATTGGGAATTTATTGAGGGAAAATGGAATAATATGATGTTAAAATGTGTAATCCATTGACAGCCCTATCATTTAGCCAACAACATGTTTGACTGTGTGACTAGATTCATTTATTTTAGTGAAGTGCTTGTGGGAGATATTGAGTATTATTTGTGAATTGAGTTTCCAGACCATGTTAATCAAACTGCTGTATAGCTCATGTGCCATTCAAACGGAATCTTGCCATCTCTCATGTATTCAGGACAGACACAAAGGCTGAACTGGATCTGATCTGTAAACTAGCCAAAGCAGCAGGAGCTTTTGATGCTGTGCATTGCTCTCACTGGGCTGATGGTGGCACTGGTGCTGTAGATCTGGCTAGAGCAGTGCAAAAAGCTGCAGACTTACCCAGCAGCTTCAAATTTCTTTATGGCATTGAGGTAAAAAAAAAAAAGAATGTTTGTGGTGTTGCATTATAATTTTTATAAGTGATAAATATATCAGTTTTATACATTTGCAGGGTGGTATATGTTACACACAATATTAGAGGGATTACTCTGCAGTCATATTTTACAGATGTACACATTCACACAGTTTGCTTATTCATTTCTGTTATCTTATAGTTACCTATTGTAGACAAGATCAGAATCATTGCGCAGAAGATCTATGGTGCAGATGACATTGAACTTCTTCCAGAAGCCCAACACAAGGTGGACCTGTACAGCAAACAGGTATGAATAGCGGATTGATTGTTGCCTATAAAGTAAAGCAGCTTTGACCACTTTTACAGATTGTGATGACTCATGTACATTACATTAAATTACAAATTACAGAAAACTAGTTAACATTGCTGCGTGAGTGTTCTGACAGTCATGGCCAAAAGTTTTGGCAGTGAGATAAATTTTGTGTTTTGCAAATTTTGCTGCTTAAGCTGTTGTGATGTTCATTCACATTGTTTCTAGATTATTGTGTAGAGTGATCAGATGTATTTTAAATAATTGCTAAAATTATTTAATTATATTATTTTAGCGTTCCTGTGGCTAACAGGAATACCACTTTTGGAGCGTTCCTGTGGCTCAGTGGTTGAGCATTGCGTTAGGTGTGCAAAAGGTCGTGGGTTCAATTCCCAGGGAACACACATACTGGTAAAAAATGTATAGCCTGAATTGCTTTGGATAAGCTTTGGATAAA